TTTAACCTTGTAATATTAAAATTATTTACTTATTCTATAAATAAATAAAATTATATCATTATTGCTGCTGCTAATATTTAAAAAAAAGAAAGTCAAGTCGGTTAAGTATTTTTCAGTATTTTAAATAATTAAATTTAAATTTATTACATCACCTAAAAGAGCAATGTCAAAGAAACGCCAATGTTTTATAACAGTGATGAGTAACTAACACAAAATAAAAAGTTTTTTTTATTATAAAAATATCTGAAAAAATTTAAACTAAATAAAGCAAATAAAATTTATTATTTGTGGGAAGAACATATGAACAAATATTTACCAAACGACTCTGTGTGTGTTGCAGAAGTTTAATGGTATAAGAAAAGAAAATTTCTCTAATTGTATAATAATTGCAAATAAGATTATGTGCAATAGAATGTATCTTATGATTTGAAAAGATATAAATTAAATTCTCATTTAAATTATATGCAAGCTTATTTGATGTTTGAAATTTTGAATTTAAAATTTTAAATATTTTTATTTAATTTCAAATAAATAATTGTAAACTTTTATTTATAGCATTGAAAAATATGTACAGAATTATTATCTATAAAATTAAAATTTAGTATAACAATTATATTATTAAGAATGACTTAATAGAAACGGACCGTATAATTTTTTGACTTTTTTTTAGATTGACCTATAGCGCCCAATTTTCAACTAAGATAACATTCATTAAACTTTTTATTTAATTCAAATAATTAATAACTACTAAAAGCCTATCCAAAGCGTTTATGATAACGATGAAATAAAATAAAATAAAACTCTTTATTAAATAAACTTTATTAATATTTTTGTTATTTGCTTAACTAAGTTCAAAACTACGACCTAAAAACCTGACCAGTTCATGATAATTATATTTAAAAAAAATCTAAATATATGTTTAATCTATTAAACACAAATTTACATTTACATATTTGCATTTATTTTAAATATATATTTTGAACAAATTTTATGAAGCTTAAATTTTCATTGATAACTTTTAAAGTTCATTTTAATGCGCATAAATTAACGCAACTATTAAATTTATTAAAATTTTTAAACTTTATTACTAATATTTCAACATTATTAATTATATATAACTATAATTAATTATTGAAGTAGTTGACTTACTTTATTCTACTTTATATTATTATGTGTAATATATATATATAACGTTTCTCATTTTCTATTTCGTTCCCGGATTTTTTTGCAATGAAAATTTTAATGACATTATAAAAATATGTAAATGTAATAATAAGCTACATTCGAAAAAATAAAAGTTTAATAAAATAAAAGAATTAATTACTTTGATTATTATAAATTTGTTTATAGTAATTTGTCTAGAATAATGTTTTAATTTAATTCAGTATAACTATTTTTGCACATATACTTTATTTTTGCAACATGTTTCAGCAACATATGCTAAAACATGTTGCATATGTTACTATGTAACACTTTTTAAATGATTGGAGAAGGTGAAATAAATAAATAGAAAAACAGTTGATTGAAAGAAATCATTTTACAGTTTTACCATAAATTTAATCTGTAGACTTCTTTGTCAAGAAATTAAAAATGCAAATGTTATTAATACAAAAAAAGTTCTTAAAAAAAAGTTACTGATAAAAGTCAAATGTAATATATTTGACAATTTGAAAGCTGGTTTTAAGATAAAAAAACGTTACTTTGTCGTAGTTAATTTCTTATTGATGAATAAACTATAATTTATTATAGTGTTATGACTTTTTATTTAGATTATTAGTAAAAAATTTGTTAAAAAATATTCATATATGCAAAATTTTTCATTTCTCCTTCGTATTTATTTGTTCATTAATAACATTTTCAATGTCAAGTTTTATTTAAAAAACACATTATATAAAAAGTAAAATAAAAAAGACATTGTGCAAAATTTTGGATAAATTTTTTTGCTTGCTTTTGAAAAAATATTGCACTGAAGTTGAAAGAATTAAACGATATACAAATAAAAAAAACTATTTTTTAAATTAAAATTAATGATTTTAATTAAGAGTTTTTAATATTTTTGGCATTTTTAATTAATAAGCATTTGTTTTTCTTTTCAGGTATGTTTCCATAAAAAAAAACTATTCTAACGTAAGTTGTTAAATATTTAAATATTAAAAGAGTATAGATGTTATTACACAAATATATAGGGTGTTTCGTTTAAGATGAAATAAAATTAAAAATCGTAAATATTTTAAAAAATAGTTAATTTAAATAACTTAAGCCATAGGCTGATATTTAGTTAATAAAATACCCATTAATGTGATGTTTAATATGTTTTTATGCCTGAAAATGTCCAGAACTCATAGTGCTACAAAATTTAATTTTTCGAAGATCTCATTTATTTGCTGAACAATCATGTCTATCACGCCCCATTTTCTGTAGCTGGCATATGATATAATATATCGCCTATTTTTTAAAATAAAGCTGCATAAATTTGCTTGAAAGTATGAGTATTAATAAATTAAAATGAATTCTAGTTTTTTGATTAAACAACTCTATATTTCAAAATAATGTGGAATTTTTTTCAATATAATTTAATTATCAATGGTGCTTTTATATAGTATTCATATGGTATATCAAACACTTTAAAACTACATTAAAGAACTCTATTACAGTATAAATATTTACAAAATATCTGGCAATTTTGGTATAATATATGACTTTGTTTCATAGTGTTTAATATTAGATATGAAGTGTAATGCACAGTTCACGATACTCTTGATAAAGCTCCTACTTATAAATGTGATTTGCATTTGAAGTGGATTTGAGTATATGAATAATTGGAGAGAGATTCAAAAAAATTAATTCTAACAAAATTATTAACAAAAATAGTTTTGATGGTTTCAGAACTGTTAAGTTGTATTTTGTTGTTTGGTTAATTGGTGCAAGTAGTGACTTGGTCCGTGAGTTCATGATTAGGCCTTTCGCACCGTTTTGATGCCACATTTTTGTTACCAACTATTTAATCGTTTATTATTGTAGCTCGATGGAGTCCAATCATTATGGTTAATGGAGCTTTGCAGGCGTTGATGTTAGTTGTTGCTAGTTTCCCGAGATTATTGGAGAACGATTTTGAAAATAAAGCACTACAATTGCTTTACTTCTTTTTCTTCTAAAAAATCAGAAAAAAATAAAAATTCGGAATTTCAACAACGAAAATTTTGGCTTGTTCGTCTAAATTGCACAAAATTGTGGTTTGTTGCTAATATGACAGGTTCGAAGTTCTAAGGCTGATATTTGCAATACAGTAATTATATACGAACAAATAAGAACAAGAAGTTTTTCCAAACATCACTGATAATAACGATTTGGCAATACTCGAAATAGCTGTATGTTTGACTTGAACTTAGCAATAAATATTATTAGGGACTCCTTGTTGGACGCCTGCCTCTCCAATTTACTAGAAGACAGTATAACTGCTGTCAGTCTAGTCCTATATTTGCATTTTAAAAATAATGTTTGTTTAAAGTTATATCTATTTCGTTATATTCTACGAGTCGTACTAATTGCAAGATCTTACGTTTAGCTATTTAAAGGTACTTGATTTAAAATTTTTTTTTAGCCTCAGTGGTATAAAGCCCAATTTCGTAAGAGATCCCCCTTCGAATATTTCATCCTTACCAATGGAATAGATAATTGAAAAATTGTGTTGTTCACTCAAACAGATTAGGGTTCTTCTAATTTGTTCCACTAAGCAAGATTTTATGGTATTTAAAATCAGAGTTTGAATTTCAACCTGATGCAATAGAAA